ACCCGCAGGTCGCGGGTTCGATTCCCGGCTGCGGCGGCTGCATTTCCGATGGAGGCGGAAATGTTGTAGGCCCGTGTGCTCAGATTTGGGCGCACGTTAAAGAACCCCAGGTGGTCGAAATTTCCGGAGCCCTCCACTACGGCGTCTCTCATAATCATATGGTGGTTTTGGGACGTTAAACCCCACAAATCAATCAATATTTTGTACTAAGGATAGCCGTCGTGGACAAAACTGCTTAACAAAGTGTATACAATGACGATTACACTCGTCGCCTAGGCGCGATATCTGACAAGGTCACACTTTTCTATAGCACATAACCGCACCATGAGCGCGTCTCGCCTCGGGAATCCGCGCGGGATACCTGATTCCCTCCCTACCGCCTGGCAATTAAAGTATCCCGACAACTCCCCATCAGACGACGTTATCTCTGTAGAGTTTTGCACAGACACAGAAAAAGGGACGTGTTCTCGTCTGAGGACCCTCCAGATGACGGCTCTGTATACGTGGATCGGAGTGAAGCCACGCAGTTTCACCTTGTTTGCACGATTGTTTTACGCAATTTGTTAAAATAGACCAATGGTACTGAATTAGAAAGATGGCGCTGTTTTATTTAGATATAAAACAAAAACACCTATGCCTGTGAACTGAGCAAATAAAAAAAATCCGGTAAGCTTGTTACCATTTTCTCAATTTTTCGCGGCATTAAAATAGCTAATAAGCGAACATTGTGCATGATATTGTGTATTTCTTCCAGTGTAACAGCATAAATAAGCCTTTTGACATATCGGTGCCCAACTTTTGCGCAGTATATATGCGCTGCCCGGCTTTTTGGTATACAGTTTGGAAAACGTGTCTGTTGAGCATATAAGTGGGTTATGTAACACTCTTTATCGTCAGCCGAATCGACAATGTTCTTTCATGAGTGGTCTTTGATATTGGTGGCCAGTTTCTCTAATGACATGCTCAGCGTCAAGATTGGTCTAACTGTTGCATAATACGAAAAAATCTTGTGCAATGGCTTTTTTGGTGAATTTCTTACGTGAGGCTGAAGGTATTGGCGAGGGAAACCAACTTTTGTCAAGCAGCACTAGCGCACGCGAAAAGCTTTGTATTCCCAGACGCTTTTGGGTGCAAAACTGCCTTTTCATAAGCTAACCCGGCTGCAGCAGCAAAATTTTTTCTGCATATTCCGAAGTCCGGACAGACTGCGCTTCACGGGAAGAGCAGTGCGACACAAGGGTATCTATAGCTGAAGGCTTTTCTTCGGCATCGGTTGCATGCCCTCGGTGGAATCATGGCCTGAATTGCATGGTACAGCAAGGGAGGAGACGAATCCCATATGCATCACGTAGCGCCCGGTCAAGACGACCGCTCAGCGGCGCCTTTCAAGGACGACGCCAAAGTCGCTTCGTGAGCGGGCGGAAATCGCCAGAACGAGACATTTCGCCGTTGTTCTTTTTCGTGCATCTTACGATCGATGCGTCCGTTTTCCGGATGCAAGTGTAGTGAGCACCGCGCGGTGCATAAGCCTCACTGACGTGTGCCCAGCGCATAAGCCGCTGCATGGCACTGGCGAAGCTGTGGTTAAGCCGGTAGTGTTATGGATGGGGACATGCTCGATCGTGGCATTACTTCTGCTCGCTTCTGAGTGGAGCTGGTTTGACTTTCCTTGTCGCTTCCTCTCGCGCTCTTGGGCTACGCCACCCCGAGAGTAGCGGTGCTTTGCATACAGAAAAAAAAATTTTTTTGAGAATTGCGCTCCACTCACTGGCACAAATATATATATATATATATATATATATATATATATATATATATATATATAATATATATATATATATATATATATATATATATATATATATAGTATATATATATATATATATATATGTATATATATATATATATATATATATATATATATATATATATTATATATATATATATATTTATATATATATATATATATATATATATATATATATATATATATATATATATATATATATATATATAATGCCACTGCAAGCAAAGCTGCCGAGTGGTGAAGTGACATTAGTAACGCGGGTATTCTATAGAACTTTGCGTTTGCTCTGTCTTTGTGTTCGTCGCCCCTTCCATTAATCCAGGGTTGTGGTCCGCGTCATGTCCTCGATGGTATACCTGGCTTGCCGCAATTGACTCTCGCCCAATGGAGAGTTTTTCGCCTGAGCGTTGCTTGGCCGACCGCGTCTGACTTGTCGGAAAGTCGCATGGCGAAGCCATCAAGAGGAGCCGCGTGCACTCGGGCTTTTCCACTGAAGTGGGCCCCGCTAAATGGCCGCTCCATTTCGTACGCACGACAGACAGGGGCGGGGGTGACATTTGGACAGGGAGCCGGGAGCATCGCAGGGGGGCTTCCGAAGACAATTGCTGTGCTAGCTGCAAGCCGAGTATGCTGTCGCAATTGTTCCGTGCAGCACTTGCAGAGCCTGCGAATCAGTCTGAGCGTATGCAAGGGAGCTTGAAGGCGCTGCAGTTTGCAGTTTCTCGAGTTTTCGTTAGCACGCCGGCAGCGTACACCTCTCAGGCTGTGCCGGCGCTTCATTTTACTTGTGCGAAAGAATGCAGTCCCCGTCTGTACATTTGAAATATGAGTGGCTAAGCACGTTTGGATTACCGCACCTCCGGTAAGCAGAGGCCACTTACCTGCACACTATGGGTGGCGCAAGGCTCATGGAATCACAAATGTCTAGGTCATACGAAGAGTGGCTTTACGCTGCTCGACGTTCCGAAGCGACCCAGTCCATGAAGGGGCTATGCATCATTTCGACCACCAGGGGCTCTTTATCGTACACGGATAAATGAACAGTGTCCGGGCGTTTCGCCACCATCGAAACACGACCATGGCATCCGCGATCGAACAGGCATCTTTCGTCTCAGCAGCCGAGCATTTTTTTTTATAAAAAGTAACGTGTACACCAGAGCCATGTGTGCGCTGCATGCGTAGTGTAAGCATTGCTTCAGAGCCTCAAAAGGTCCTTCTGAAGACAACAGCTATTGCCACACCTGAACATCCCGCTCGTCGCAATGGAAAACACGCCCAAGAGCCGCTTGCTGCAAAAACTGGCTGGAGGCTCGTTTCCGCAAGTGCAATGCACGAAACTGTCGCAAGCTGGATGGTGCCGGTGGCGCGTCGCGTGGCCTCCGTCAGGCTCGCCGACAGGGTGGGTATTGCGAAAACTCAGACCGGCGGCGCGCTCTTGAAGACGCGCTCCGAGGCGCATCACCTCGCCGTCGATGGATGCGCGCGAGCGGGCGCTGACAGCTTCTCCGAGCACCATTTTATGCAGCTCCGGGGACGAGGGACAGGCGCCCAGTACGGGAGATAACGTGCCACCCCGATGAGGTGAGCGCTCTGCGATCCCTATCGGCGTTCGTGTTTGTTTCCCCGACGCTTCCCGCCCCCCAACTATACCGACACGCTGTTTTGCCGCTCGAAAGGTTTATCACGTCACCTCGCTCTACAATCCGGTTCGCACGTCAGTCCGAGGGCCGACACCCAGCGAGCCGTCGACGCTTGCCATTCCCCGGCCTCCCCCTTACATTCGTTCTGCTCGAGGAAGTGTTTTCCCACTCTCTAAAGACATATCTGAGAGTAACTTCAGTTCGTTGCAAGTCACCACCACCCTGCAAAAGCAAGTAACAGTCAGGAACGTGAGCATTTATTGAATCGCAGGTCACTGTTGCAGCATTCGATGTAGAAGAAAAGAGAATAAGGCTGAGTGAAAGGCAGGAAGGTTAACCAGTAGAGAATTTCCTGTTTGCTACCCTGCACTGGGGAAGGAGAAAGGGGATAGCAAGGCGAGGGAAGAAAAAAAGGAATGAACGTTCGACGTAATTTTGACGCCAATACAGGGACCAAACTCAGCAAACATTTCATTTGATTGCGTTGGTATTGGCAATTCGCCATCGCTATAGTATATCCAACATCAGTATTAACAGACATCTCCTCTCACGCGCAGTCACAGAGCTAAAGCTTTGTGAATGCCTATCGGGCTAACAGGTGCATGTCAGTATACGAATGAAAAAAGCTTAGTGAATACGAGTATCGCACCAATGCTGCATAGCTGGTGCGATACTGGCTTTCATAATTATACTTCCGATATATGTGAAATCATTCCAACATTACAACCCTAAGGATTTTGCTCTATCAGACAAATTGTGATCGCTTCTACAAACTTCTTATCTAAACAATGACACGTATAAAGCTAGATAGAAAGGCATGTTCGCGCTCTTTTTCCGACCACTTCCCTGAAACAATGATTTCGTTTATTTAACAATTTTCAATATTTAAACACTCGGTGTATTGCTTCCGAGAATGCATTTATAGAACTTTTTTTTTTTCGTTTTTCTTCAATTACATGGTAAGCTTTCGAACAAAGCGTGCAGTCTTGCACATTATGGGGAAATGTGTGCCTGTCAGTCTCCCCCCCCCACCCTTTTTTCCTTTCCCTCTCTTCCCTCTTTCTCATCATTCTTGTCTCCTTCCCTAATCACCCAGTGTAAGGTAGCCAACCGGATGTCTTTTGGTTAACCTCCCTGCCCTCTCTCCTTTGTTGCGTCCTCCTGCTTTTTTTTTTTTAATCGGTGTCTGTGTTCGCCCTTGAATGTGCACGGTAGATCAGTGACTGCGGGGCTCGGCTGCTGACCGGAAGGTCGCGGGGTCGATCCCGGTGGTCCCGTTTCTATAGAGGCTACATGGTAGAGGCTCATGTACTGTGCAATTATGCCAGCGCACGTTAAAGAACACCAGATGGCAGAAATTTCCGGAGCCCTCCACCGCGGCGTCTCTCATAATCGTATCGTGGTTTCGGTACGTAAAACCCCAGACATTAATGCATTATCGCCTCTTACTAACTGTGCAACGACGTCGTTGTGTGAATGTACAACAACGCGATGGAGGTAGCTTGCAACTGCTTGTTTATCTCTTGCTGTTTACCCCTTTTTTCGTTTTGCAGAAGCCGGGGACATGATCAGTTGAACAAGGACCCTGCTCCAGCGGACCATGCGTCACTTCTCTTTGAGAGTCCTCACCTTCGTCAGCCTGCTCTACCTGGCAGTGTCGCAAAGTAAGTCAGGCGCACGCTCATGCGTTTCTTACGATTTGCTTCATGCGAACACCATCACTCTGGACTCGACAGCACATAACCATGTTGGGTCATCTTGTCGACTCCTCTGGCGTACGCCCTGAGCCTGACAAAGTTCGAGCTGTGCAAAGCTTCCCCGTCCCGACCAGCACTAATGAAGACCGCAGCTTTTTAGGTTTATGTTCTTACTTCCGACGTTTTGTAAACAATTTTGCGGACGTGGCCCGACCTCTTACGGACTTGCTGAAGGAGGATGGAGCAATGTGTGTGTTTGATGCATGGGTGTGTGCGTGTGTGAGTGATCGTGTTGTGTTTTCGCGCTCGAATTAACTTTTAGAAGGATGTCCCATTCTCTTGGGGCACTGCGCATGCTTCGGCGTTCTCTAATCTCTTCGCGTTGCTCACAACACCACCTATTCTGGCCCATGTTACGTGATTTCGGACCGACTAAACCTAAAGCCATCTTATCTCACGTGAAGCGGTTTGACAACGGGTGGATGGTGATAAGCACACGTCTAATTCTGGCGCGAGTACAATGAAATCTAAATTAAACTTCGTGCGAATTTATATCTATATAGACCCGTCCCTTTTAATTACGCGTTGGCCAAAGGTCGGGATTATCCAGTGGCAAAAATCGTTACAATGTTTGTTTGACGCCACTGATTTTTAATGGCGTGGTAATATGCCCGCATACATGGCGTAAAAGCAAAACTATATTCTTAATAATTTATGTCGTTCTATTTTACTTATAACTGAATTATATTTGATTTATGTCTCATAAAAAGCAAAATAATTATCGCCAGACAATTCTTGACCACATTCTTCTTTATGTTTGTGACATTAAACATTTTAACACCGTGGTCGCATCATTCTTCCAATAATGGTGAACGCAAGCCTGCACAACATAACTAGTCAAAGTAAGGAATAATTTGAATAAGACAAGATGACTAACAGAATTTTTTTCACTCTCTATACGGACGATGTGATTACATGTGTTATGCATATTCACTTGCTTTTATTTAGAGTTATAACAGTTGAATCTCGTTATAACGAACACTTATAGAACGAATTATTGGTTATATCGAACTGACTGGGCCGCGTATTTTCATTGTTATATTTATTATTATTATAACGAAATAAAAGAAACGTGAACGCCAACAGGATATCGGCTATAAAGAAGAAATAGTTATTTGCAGGAAGTTCAAAACTCAAATTGTCTCATAAAAACTAAAATATTTATATAAAGACAATTTATGGCCACATTCTCGTTTGTGACATTAAACATTTTGTTAAGAAAGGTGTCACATCCTTCTTCCAATAAATGCGAACGCACGCCTGCCTTGTCAAATGAACTTTGTTGTGTTGTAATTTCACCTTCTCATGTTTCGGTGAGACTCGCGACGGTGGCCTGGTGGCTATGATGCTCGACCGAAAGGTCGCGGGAGCGAATACCGCCTTTTGGATGTGGGCGAAAATTCTTGAGCTAGGCCCGTGTACTTGGATAAAGGCGCACGTCGAAGAACGCCAGGTGGTCGAAATTCGGAGGAACATCTGCTACGGCATTCCTCATGATCACATCGGGGTTTTAGCATGCTAAACCAGATCAATTATTATTATTATTGTTGTTGTTGTTGTATGTTTGTTTAGTTTGTTTAGTTTTATTGTCACAATGAGACAGATAAGCATTGCGTCGTTTATAACAGATTTGAAGCCAAAAATAATTCGTTTTTGTATCTATTATTTTCGTGTGAGCCTGATTGCCTTTTTGATAGTGCCAATTTCTGTCTATACTGTTACAACGTATATCACATATAACTAACTAAGACCCGTCTGTATTTGTTCAGTCCTCGATCAACCCCGCAAGCTGTCGCCAGTGCGGCTTTCTGCCTAACACGTCTGTAGAACCGGGCATTCAGGCGATTACAGTTGTGGTGTGGTGCGAACACGGGTATGGTATTACGTAAAGCAGCCCCCCCACCCCTGTCCACGCCCACCAATTCTTCTATGCAATGACATTATTTTTAAAATTTTTCTCCGACTAGAAGTTATCTCATTGATCTGTAGTATTTTTTTTTTCGAGTGTCCAAGACACATTACTCAAGCGTCCTGCAGGTGGTTAATATTGTTATAGAGAAGAAAGTATCTCAGGTACCTACTCAGCCCGTGAAAATATCATCGTGCATTTTGATACCAAACTAAAACTTTGTGAGGCTCTCCCGAAGTTGTGAGGAGTGATTCCGAGACCATGCTCAAGGTATAAACGCAACTACTTTTCCTTCTCTTTCTTATCCCTTTCTTTTCTTTTTATTTCTTATTACTTTTTGCGCGTGCTCTAAATTCAATATATATGGGCTGAGGCGCTGCGACAAAAAATTAATGGCAAGTTAATTTTTTCTAACTAGAAATGTTGGAAAAAAAAAGAAACGTGACCTAACTATTTAAAATAGCACCGTTGTATTCACCCTGATTGTGAACATTCAATTTCGCCGCGCCTGCTCAAGAAGAGGCACAACAGATATTATCTTACGGACAATTTCCCGAAATACTACCTGCAGCTCTGGTTCCCGACATGTGTTGGTGCACGCGTTGTTCATTTATTTGTTCCTCCCCGTCGTTTCCGCAATTTCGTGGCATCGGCACATCGGAGCTTGACGCGTCGGCAGCGCGCCTCAAAGACGAAAATGGATTAAAACGGCTCCTTATCCTTACTTGGCGTTTATATTTGGCAAGTGGAGGGACCCGTAAAGAGAGTCATCAACCGTCATCTTTTTTTTCTTTTTCGTGGCTTAGTGTCTAGACCGCGCCCTGTTGTTTCTGAAGCCAATGCGTGTATATACGGGGCGTTATAGAACAGCACAGTCTTCGCGCATGCGCGTATGTGCTGGAATTCACATAACGGTGGCAGGGTGGGGGGGGGGGGGGTGAAGAGGCGAGGAAACGGCAAGTAGACGCTGCCGCGCGCCGGGTAATCCCGGAAAAGGGCTTTGTGCTGCAGCCCGGTGCCGCCACGGGGGCCAAAATTAACCGACCTCTCGACTCGTGCCGTCAAATGGTCGCGCCTGTGGACTGACAACGGGGACTCCCATTGGAGCCGCGGCGTAAATCCCGGTGTGTGCAGTAAAAGGACCCCGCGGCCACTTTCGCGTGCGCGCGTCTTCGCCATCGACGAGCGGCGAATCACCGCCGCAGATCACGCCTGCCGCAGCTCTGATTCATGGAGACACGCGCCCTGCGGTGTCGCCAGGGCCACGCATGCAAGAGGCGATCGTAACTCTTCCGGCGGCTGTCATGTCGAGACTGCGGTCGGGGCACGATCCTCCTGCCGACCGAGCGCCGTTCTGGTGCGAAGGAAGATGCTAGTCTTGAATCCACCGCCGAGCGATTTCTGATTCCGTGCGAAACTGGCGCGGGGGCGACGAGAAGACGTGGAAGCGTCTCGCCCCGAGTGCTGGTGCGCGTACATTCATCCGTGAATGAATCAGACACAATAAGAACTGACAGTATCAAGTTGAACTTTTTGGCGGAAATATTTCAACCTTCTAAGCGCGCTTCAAAATGTCACGATGAGTCAATTCATCTTCACAAAAGGCGACTGACTGGGTCGAATACACATACCTGGTACACATACCATTTGTGGTAAAATTGAGATCGTACTACGCAAGCAGGGCGCGTATTTATACAACAGGCTGTGACGTATATTGTTAACGAAATTTCGACCCGCCCTGATGATTACTGTTAGCAATGACTACACGGCTGATGTCAAAAAGCTGTTTATGAATGACACGTTTGTGAGTATTCTATAAATGCTGAATTCACAAAGATTTACGTTTATGAGATTTTTTTTTGCCACTGCTTTGGTCGCCTTCTTCAATAATACACCCTGCATCATGATTGGTAGAGATGTTTATTTTCCTGCGCCATACGTTTTTTTTTATTAATACGCCCAAGCTATAACACTTTCTAAGATCAGATGGCACCCAAGTGTGGTGTTCGACATACCAACTGAGGCAGCCTGTCCATCGGAAACAACACTTACGAAAAACAGCCTTTGTGTCTTAGTCCTTAAGCTCTTATACGTCAATTTGAATATATACACATCTCGAACTTCTTTTTTCTTTCGCACTGTTGGTTCGCTGAGCTCGTAACGAACAAGTTATTGTGTAGCGCTCTCTGCATTTTACATCATCACTAACTCAATGCAGTATATAAAGCACTTCAACTGGTCCTGCACGCTCGCTTGCCCCGAAAGCTGCAGGAGCCTTCTGGACAATATGTGCAAAAATGGCGTTTCCCCACGAATGCGCATACAACAAGTATCTTTCCCGCAATGATCGCAGATATTGCACCGGGAAGTCTTTCGCACGCTTCTTACTTTTCTGTGAGTAATTTGATTAAAATACGAATGGTTAATTATATACTACATGCAAAGAGACGGGAGCAAACGCCGGCCAAGTCTGCCAGGCCGCATCCCCTTTACAAGCAAAACCGCTACCACCACCATCTGGATGTTTGAGGCAACGAGTAGATGAACCCAGGCTTCAACCAAGTTTTCGCTCTAAGTTCTCGCCAAGCATTTTCGCTTTAGGTCAGCGGGTAACAATGCAAAGTTGGTAATTATAATGCCCCGAACGAACGCAATGTTTCCTGGAAGCGCAGTGTCTTAAAGCGTCTCGGTCACTCGCCAAATGGGTCGCGCTTGCCAATGAATTACCACGACTGAGAGCACGCGTGAATTGAAGTTATATTCACAGGACTCCAGGTGTGAATTGCACATTGCTCCAACCTTTTATTTCTAATCAATTGATATGTGGGGTTTAACGTTACAAAACCAGCATATGATTATGAGAGACGCCGTAGTGGAGGGCTCCGGAAATCTCGACCATCTGGGGTTCTTTGACGTGCACCCAAATCTGAGCACACGGGCCTAAACATTTCCGCCTCCATCGGAAATGCAGCCGCCGCAGCCGGGATTCGATCCCGCG